TTTATGTTCTCTTTCATTTTTCTTTTTGGCAATGACCGATTGTCTTTTACATTCTAACGGCCTCCAAGTGAATGAAATGTACACGCTGTTTTTGCATCGTCGAAGATAACCTTTTGCTTAAATGTTCATTCTCTGTTTTCTGAGCTTTCGTTAAGTTTTTGCATGTAGGTTTCGTGGACACCGGCACCACGAGCGATAATCTGAAGACCGGCACGAAACTGGATCTACCATGCTGGCTGGCAGAAGGTTTGGCGAAACGTCGTCGGCCGGTTTTAAAGGTTCACTTCGTTTACTCTTTAAGTACACGTTTAACGATGATATATCGATTGTTTCTGCTTCAGGTGCATCTCCCTAAAGTATACGCGTCGACGTACACTAAAATCTTGGAAGCCGATGCTCAAGTGGTTGACCTGCGGAGACTTGGCCCGTTCTATTACGAATTTGCTCTGCAGGTGATTCCGATTGCCATACCGCATGCAACGGATGCCTACTATAGCCTCATCCAGGTATTTCATGTACATTTTGATGAAATACATGATTTTGGTTAAATAGCGGAACTTATTTACTTACTATTAGTTACTTACTTTTACTTACTTATATTTGTAGGTTAATGCATCAACTCTTTAACCTTCTTCTGTGACGTCAGAGAAGTACTGTAGTGAAGTGGTGATGTAGGAGTGTTCGTTAACTCATTCAGCCGCACAGTTCGAACTCAAACGACGTGGAAGGGGTCTTCCTTATTAGCAGTTAGTTATGTTGAACAAGCAGCTCATCTAATTTTCGTCCGATATTGCCAACGGAAAATCAGGTCACAGGTTGATGATCAGCACGTATTAGCAATAGCGCTATGCTTTCTTGCTCTCCGTTAGTCTAGCCATGTGACCTCTTCATAGATTAAATAGTAAAATGCCTAGGCACTAACTACATTGGTTAACAAATCTTCTCGTACCTTTGAGGCAGATATGTGTGGTACGATCACGTTATTGAGTATGCGGGTTCTCCCGCTCATTATGAGCGATGTTTCTCTAGCTGGAACTTCTTATACACACTGCCACGTAATCATCAATATTTGAATTAATATTCTTATAAATGTATTCCTGCAGACTAAATTATTATTAAACCTTCCCGAAGGATAATTTGTCAAACAGAGGGACACTGACCGACTGTGGCTCTTGTTTAAATTTAATGAGCTTCGGACTAATAGTGTAAATTGTACATTGATTAGAAGCGATTTTTCAAACAAGCCGAATGCGCTACCTTGGACAATTGGTAATTGGTGTCTCCTGTTCTTACAGAAATTTTCAAAAGACCTGGCTACTTGGAAATTTGTCTTCGACATCTGTTTCTGGAGGTAAGTTTATGATAGGCTCACCGTTAGTCGCAGAAGAGATGAAATAGGAATTATTCTAGTGATCTATTCATTAATCGCCCCCAATTAATATTTCAGTTAATTAACTTTGGTGACTGTTGCAAGTCTAAAACTAATCGTAAGATTATGTAAGCGGATAGTCGTCCGTTTTTCAATATTCCGCTTTATACTAACATCAGCAATCATAACAGTCTTGGACCACTTATTTTTCGAGCAGGATTTTACTTCAATTTAATATTTTTTTTGAAAATTGTTGCACTTTGGCGTTCTCACTCGGATCGTCTCAAAAGTCTTTTAGCAGTTAACTTCTACAAACTTCAGAAGCGCTGCGTTGCCTTGATTTGACGATAATACGTTATTTTTAGACATTCGTGTCGCGTTTCCGATGGCTGATGGACAAAGCGAGTTCAGCAACGTTAAACGAAAAGCCGATTCGAATGGACAAAACGGAAGAGAAACTGTTCTGGCTGTGCCAACAGGAACAGAAAAGGTTCCGAAAGTGGCTGAGCTACAAAGGCAACCAAATCAAAGCGGCACAAGTGGTCAAACAGCGGAAGCGCAGAGGTGCAGAGATGTTTACATGACTTAATGGTTTTTCTCTCTTGTTAGCTGCTGCCTCATACGATAATATGTGATGCTTCTTCCGAAACATTTGTTCCTGAAGGATAATTCATTCTCATTACTGTCAATCATTGTACGTCTTAAATTGTTATATTGTGATGTTCTTATTCGACTCTATTGTACAGACTTTACGTTGTTGAGGTAGTTTGATTCCTGTC